TGTGGCTTACATGGATCCTTAAGTTATTCATAAGCATTTACTCCATAAGATATTCATAAGCATTTGTATGCATTTAAAGAGGATATTTCATCTTAAAACTGATCAAATGAGGTACAGTCAGCAGGTTTTTTGTCTGTGTGGTCTTTATAGCAGGTTCAAACTTTGACAGGAGAAGCAGAACTTTTACACTGCCTACTATAAAATTCTTCCTGAAAGCGATCAGTACAGATACCTCTCCTTTCTTTTTAATAACAGCCGCAAGGCCTACATTTTTAGGTCAGCTTTTGATGGGGCTTTGAGTCTATTCAGTTTTGATTTCTGAATATTGTTTTTGTCTTGTTTGTTTTCATTGATAATTTTTAAATTACTTTGAGCAACAGAAAAATAGTATATAAATATTTTAATAATGATCTGCCTTTCTTGCCTGACTGAAATGAGTCAACTTCTTTGGGGGTCTGAAATCAGAGTTTCAGTACCTGGATAACCACATGCAGAGACAATTTGAGGGGGAGCAGAGGCCTTCTTCATTCATTTTAGAGGTCTGGATGAGAATTTTTAATGTTCTAGGACAAGCTTAATATTTTTATTCAGCAGGGTACAAGGTAACTATGCTTATGGGAATTGTATCCAAAATATTTGGAGGGCACCAGGTTGGCTACTCCAGAAACATTTTTTTAAAGACTGAAAGTGTACCAAATCCTTCTAAACAAAGATTAGCTGGGTGACTCCAATAAAACTTTATTTGGAAGAAATGATTAGTCCTTAAAATAAGAAAAGTATGCCAATCTAACTGCTTAACTACAACTAATGAATTTATTAAGAGTAGAAGTAGATATACACCTAGCTGCCTCATGAGAAAAAATGTTGGTAACATGGTTTTGTATTTACCAAGCTGAAAACATTACTATAACAAAGGCTTCATGATATCAGGACACAATCCTAAGGATTGTTATTTGAAAGTAACAACTACCAAATCTACTTCTAATTTTGCACCTAGGTAATATAAAGAACTGCTAGATAATACAGAAGTAAGACTAAAATAATGTCTAAGTGGTAGTTTTATTACCCCTTGTTAGCCCCTGCAGTGGCCTGAGAGTCCAAGAAAATGACAATACAAGTTAGTTAGTTTTCAAAGAGTTTAGCAGCTAGTCACAATGCACAGTGTGAAATGGACTGCAGGGAAGGCTTAAAGCTGCTAGAATGGATGGTCAGTGAAGCTGCCTGTGAGTTGTCAGTGTCTGAACAGAGGGAGGATGGGCTAAGCCTCCTTGTTACACACTCTTTGCTGCTGATGCCATGAAGCTGTACAATCCAAACAACCTAAAAATTTCCTACCTGGCAAGTCCAACTGTAGCTAAGCAACTTACTGATAAGCAGAGATGCAGGGAGGGCTGGCAGATTCCCATAAGCACATAAGTTAGTTAGGTCTTAGAAAGGCCTTGATATGCTCTTTGATAGCAAACACCTGCTCATTAATTGGTGTTAATGTTCTGATGTGTCCTTTGTCCATCTTCTTAGTTGAGCCAGACAAGATGTAACAGGCTTTGCCCACAGGCAATAAAAGTATTTGTTTGTTCTTTGACCTATCTATACTGACTGAGCAGGCGGCACCAAATAAGGAAACTACAGACACAGGTAAACCAGAGCACAGAAAGCCAAGCACAGAGGCCTGCTGAGACCAAGAAGAGTTCCTCATCTGCTGCCTCTGGGGAGTCAGGAAATGTCATGCTGAGAAAGTACCCTTTGATTGTTCACATCTCCATTTCTCTTGGACCAAGGCTCATGCACAGGATTTAAGTTGTCACTAACATTTGCTGAGATGCAACTGGCCATAATATTAGACATGGAAGAGATGGTTTTACTTGGGAGTCCTGCACAGAGCAGAGGGTTGAACCTGATGACCCTCTGGCTTCAAACTCTATTATTCTATGCTTCTTCCTTAATGATAAGTGTATTTTTGCCTTTCCCTGCACATGCGGCCTAGGTCTGTGCATAAGTCAATCAAATTTTGCCCTGTAAGAAACATTTCCCCCATGTAGGAGCATTACTACATTGCAATAAGGGCTGGAACTATCTGAACTTTCAGTCTTCTCCAAATGCACAATTTTATGAAGAAATGAAGGTAGCATTAGGTTTAAGAAGCCCACTATGAACTCTTCAACCCATTCAGCTACTTCAAAAGACCATTCTCTACATTGCCCACACACAGATTCTGGCTTACATCTTGTTATTTCCCACAGTATTCCTGTGAGTGCTGCACAGGGAACAAGAAGTTATTTGGTACTTACACCTCTCTCTCTTTGATTGCACTGGGATCTTCCTTCTTCTTTGCTTTGGCTTTTACTCTGTCTTTCTCTTTGCTAGAAATGCATATAATTTTCTTATCAATAAATCATTGTAGATAGCTCAGGGATAAAACATTATTTTTGGGAGGAAATATAAATATAGGTTCAAATGATAAAGAAGAAACATAGTTCAAATATTTATAATAATAATCCAAATAATAAAGTGGAATATTTCCCCCACAGTATGGAACTGGAGCAATCTGTGTCCTTTCTAAGTAAAGCACTAGAAAAGCCATTTCTCCAAAGGCTTACATATTTTCTATTAAGAAATTTCATTATACAAACTAAATGGCAAACATGAACTGCTTACTTAATAAGAATAAAAAATGCTAAACTAAAATGCTAAATAATTTAGCATATTAGCTCAAATATGCTAAATTATTTTTACCCTCAGCATAATCAAAGTAGTTCAAACTCTAGCACTGTGACACAAGGTAGTAAAAAGATGAGTGTTCTCTGTAGTCAGTCCCAGAAAATATACACAAAATAAACTCCGAAATCATATTTTAAAAGTAAACACATTCACTTTTTCTTTGATTTTTTAGCCTATCTTCATTTGCTAGAAACCTTTGTTCTTTTCATAGTATCATAGTCACAGTACAAATTTAAAGTCACTAATGCTTGGAAATTCTGTCATTATTGGTTTGTTTTTGGGAATTAAAATGGTCCCAATCTTATGACTTAAATCTGAAATTAAAGGATGTTTTTGTCAGCAAAACCTTATTTGATATTTAGCATGTCAATTATAAGTGAACCAGCAAGTACTTCCAGTTATTATTGGCTACTAATGGAAAAATAATATTTTATTTTATTCATTTATTTTTCGATTTATATCCTGCCTTTTTCCAATGAAGGGCTCAAGGCAGCTTACATCTCCTCCTCCATCTTATCCCCACAACAACAACCCTGTGAGGTAGGTTGGGCTGAGAGTCTGTGACTGGCCCAAAGTCACCCAGTTGGCTCCATGGCTGAGCGGGGACTAGAACCCAGATCGTCTGAGTCCCAGTCCCATGCTCTGAACCACTACACCACACTGGCTCTTACAGAAGAACATACAATTAGCTGAGGCACTCACCATGCAATTTCTTAGTACTACCCCTCATCTGTTTGAATCTAACAGTTTCCTTCTATCAACAGAATGGAAACTAACAGAAGAAACAGAGCTTGGGAGAAACTATTGCAGTCAAAGAAATTTCAGCTACTTTATAGCATCAGTTTTATTCACTCAACTAAGCTGCCATATATTTGCATACCAATGAGAACAAAAGTTCTGAAAAACCATGTCGCAAAAGGCATAATTTTGTAAGTTAGTTCTTCCTGCAAAAGTTAGGAGTAATGGCTCTGTAAAATGACACCTGTCCTTACTTCTGAATAAGGATTGCAGTGTAAAGTATTAGTCCTATTAGGGTACCAGTTTACATATATTTAGATAGAAAAAATTTCTGTAACTCTCAATATGGATGGCAGGGAAAGGCTGGGAGCTGTAGGGCTTTTTTCTTGCCTAGACTGCACCCTTAATCATGCAAAGCAGTTGGAAGTTCAACTCAAATAATTCAGCAGTACCTGCTACTACTAAATAATAGCAAGAAACTCACATTCTCTGGTCACGAAGGCTGATCATACGTTTCATGACGGCATACTTCTTTGCTTTCTTCTGTTTCCCCTGAAAGGTGATACATTAATCAACTATCATGGTTTTGATGAAATACTATACCGCAATTTCCACAGCAAACTCAGCCTTTGACCTAGAAGATCTATCTCTAGCTGCAGACGTGTGTGGTTACTTATTGGTGAGGAAAAGGCATTCTGCTCATACATATATTCGTAATAAAGAACGAAGATGGCAGAGTTTACTTTTGAGAGAGTATTCTAAGCTCCAGCTAATCACGATTATAAGAGTGTCATCACTGATTTATGTACAGAATTATTTATTTATAACTGCTATTTAAACTCATTTTAGCTCGCTATTAAGGGTTGAATTCGTTCCGCTTATTGCTAGCCCTGCAAGACCTACCCAAGCCAGCACGTTTCCGTATCTTCTTGGCACCCGTGAGTTCTCTCAGTATGCCTTTGTGACCATCTATAAATTGTACTGGGGGCCAGGAGTCGCCTAGAAACGATTTGGTATATATTTTCATAGTAATATGTACAGGAAAGTTGGGTCCTTATAAGCAACAGCTCTACCGGTACTTACCATCTTGCAGCGCTCAACAACGCCCGCCTCGCGTTCTCAGCAGCATTTCCGGCGCGGAAAATTAGCTTGTCCGGCAGCGTAGTCGTCATTTCCGGATTGAGACTGTGGGCAGAGTTCGCTCAGGTAAGGCTGGTGCAGAACCGATCGTTAGTGTCTGCTGCACGGTTGCTGCCTTGAACTGCTACAATCTTCCTTGACGCTGGTGCTTTCGATTATTTTTCTTCTGGGATAAGGCAAGAGAAGGGAGGATTTAGTATGGGCTTCGTGTCTGGAGGAAGAGGGAAGCGCTTGCAGCTGGGAAGGGGGCGGCGCCCTTGGGAAATCTCATTCTCCCGCTGCCCTGAAGAAGAGGGAAGTGGCCGAGTGCTTTGGGAAACTGAATTATTGGGAGGTCGTGGGGAGGAGGAGTGTTCAGTGAATTTAAAGCACGGTGCGATAGTTTCAGAAAGGAATCAAGTCCATTGGTGGAAGGAAATAAGTTTGGGCTAAGCATATTGTTCACGAGGTTGTATCCAGCCAAATTTGTAGGTTATAGAAAGTCTGGAAAATCGGGTATTTAATAAGTCCTCTTCACTTCTTTCTCTTCACCGCACTTCCTTTCCATTTAAAAATTCGCCTGAAAGCCAGTTGGTTACTTTTCATTGCTTGATTTGATTTGAAAAATTCAAAGGGAGATACAGAAAAATTATAGTCTTCACTGTTCTCAGTTGCCTCATTCTAGAAGCCTTGGCTTTGAAAGCTTTCTTGCTCTCCTGTTGTCTCTGGTTTTGTGCTATTTGTGGTCTTTGCTTTTTACTGCAGTGAGAAATTTGTTTCCATTTTCTGGAGGATAATGTTCAGTCCTGTTTGTGCTGCTGCCCTAGAAGAATTGAAATGGAAGGTATTTTTCTCCCTTCCCTCATCCTTAGGTTTCAATGTTTGCCAGTATGTTTTCTGTTTCAATTGCAGTGTTAAATTTGCCTTGCATTTGCCTGTAGTGAATAGCTGTTCAGTTCTGAGTTTGTGTATGCATGGGAACTGCAGATTTGGTGCCATTTACCCTTTATAAAGCTTGAATGAAATTGAATTCCACAATTGTATGAACTATTATTTAATGAATCATGCTGTGTAAATGTCACTATATTGACTTTATCTTTGTGAATGTGTATTTCTTGAATGTATTTGCACACAGAATGCTGGGAGTCAGATGCCTGACTGGATCATTTCCAACTGATTAATGATTGTTTTGCAATAGTTCTGATTTTGTCAGTTTCTTCTTCTTTACAAAAATAACTTTTATAAAGATGGAGATGTTTTGTGAAATAGAGATCCATGGTAAACTGCTATTCTTACTTGCAAGGTTGGTCTTCTAATGTAGTTTTGTAAATAAGCTGTCACTTGGTCACTTACAGTGAATAAGAACTGCCTATTGGTGACCAGGCAAATAACTTTTACAAAATGCCTAGTACAGGCATGGGGGTGTGGGAAGAGAATTGGAATGTCATGGGCGGTTGCCGTATTTGTAAGACAAAGTGTAATAGCTTTTCCCAACCTTCTAAAATTCTTGCTAGAAACCTTGATTAATAACAATGTTTCTATTTTATAAGGAGCAATCTTGCTAGCACTTTCAGCTAACAGTTGTGGTTCTTTTGCAAGTTCAGCTGAGCCCTCATTATGTCTTGTTGAATTGCTCACATGAGAAATATTACCTATATTTTGTGTGACTGCCTATGGTCCGCAGGCCTAAAGTGTTCAGCATTCAGTTCACCATATTATGAAACAATTAGTGTATGTGTATTTCAATAGCTTAGTATCCTTAAGTACTCCAGAAAAAGCATTTTTCAAATGTCTCATTTATACAAATCAGCATAAAGATGTTACAGTGATATGTATTTTGGAAATTTTTGCCTCTTGTTCTGCAGTACATCCAATAGTAAAAATATTCTGTGTGTTTCACAATAATTCACAAAAAGATGGCTCACAAATGGAATAAAAAAGCATTCAATTTTTCCAGTATGCAAAATGTAAAAACAATTTAGAAGGTAAAGCAATTTGACTAGCAAAAATATGTGATATAAATGCCCAAACATACCCTTAAATATGTTTAATACGTGGGAGAAGAGGGCAGTCTTAGTCTGGCACAGAAAAGATGACACTATTGGCTTTAGCCACTCTCAAGGGCAGATCATTCCATAAGCAGGAGCAACCACTGAGTAGGTCCTCTCCTATGCTGCCACCCTCCATGTCTGTCTCAGGGATGGCACTCAGAAGATGGCCTCAGATGTTGATTATACTGTCTGGGCACTCTGTCAGGCATTGTGTTCTCAAGCCATGAAAGGCTTTCTAGGTTGAAACCAGCATCTTGAATTGGGGTTGGAGGCATCCATACAGCTAATGCAAGCAGACTGAAATTGATGTATGTTCAGAATATCTGGTCTCTGTTGATAGTCTGGCTACTGTATTTTGCACATGTTTCAGCTTCTCAACAGTCCTCAAGGCCAGCCCCATGTAGAGTGTATTACAGTACTCGGATGCTGCCAGCACATAGATTGCTAAAACCAGGCTATCCCTGTCCAGATATGGGTATAGCTAGGTTGCTAGCCAAAGCCAGAAGGCATGTTAACCTAAAGTGGCAAAGATGGCTCCAGGAGGACCACAAAATTATTATTCTCATTTGGGGAGAGTGCAGCCTCATTCAGAATAATGAGCATGCTCCTTTAAAGTAGAAGAACCACCCACTAATAGCTTCTCAGTTTTCTTTGAATTGAACTTCTGTTCATTAGCCCTTATCAAATCAACTGTTATAGTCAGGCATGGATTGAACATTTCCACAGTCTCACCTGATGAAGATGGAAAGGCAAAATAGAGCTGCATGTCATCAGCACATTTCAGATGATCATATGCAGAAGCTCCATGTAGGTATTGAATAGCATGGGGAACAGAACTACCCCTGGGAAACTCCATGCTGAAGAATCCATGGAGCTGAGCAAAATTCCTCAAGCACCACCTGCTGCCAAGACTGCAAGTAGGAATGATAATCATCTAGAAAGATACCATGATCAATGGTATTGGAAGCCACGAAAAAAAAAAATCCAGGAATATCAATGTTGTCATAGTTTCCTCTCTCTCTGTCCCCAAAAGGATATCATACAGGGTGACTAAAGCTGTTTCTGTACTAAAACAAGCCAAAACCTGAGTTGAAATTGATCTAGTCATCCTCATTGAAGACTGTTTGGAGCTGGTTGGCCACCATCTTCAGCCTAATGTTCCAAGTCCAGAGATGATATCTTTAGGAGTGATTTCACTGCCACCTATTTCAAATGGCATGAGACCACTCCTTTTTGTAGAGAGACGTAAATCACCTCACTGGCCCAGACAACTGGTCCCTTTCTAATAATTTTTATAAGCAAGAATAGTAAGGTTCTAGAATGGAATTGGTTGCATGGACCTGCCCAATCTTGGAACTGTACCACCTGAAAATCATTCAGAAAAACTGGATCAGACTGTACCCTAGATACTTTACTTGATTTGGAGTCTAATCTCAGGCAGAAGCAAAAGATTTTATTCTGGGAGTGCCTAGCAGATGTGTTAAGGTGGGCCTTGAACAATGTGCTTAAAGCCAGCAGCAGATGGAGGTAGTGAGATTTTTATTTATTTATTTATTTTTGGTGGGGGGATGACTTCACTATCCCTAATTATACTGGACTATAGGCACATACCAGATTGTGTCCATTAGGAATTTTTCTCCATCTGCACTCAGTCTGTCTCCTGTTTGGACCAAATCAATATATGCACAGTTTTAAAGGGTAGAATCAATACGTATTGTATTAGAAGAGGGAGAACTTGTGATGTTATTTATGTGTTTAAATACTGTGTTTGGTGTTGACTTGGAACTCCTTGTGCTAGGTTAATATGATTCCATATAATTTGAGCTTTATTTCACACAAGATACATTTTCTATAAGGAAGTCATTTTTTTTGGAGAGAAACTGCTTGAATCCTGCATTGTGCTCATCACATTTGATTAATATACACCATGTACAAGCACAGCTAGAATCCACAATTGCCAGTAGCTCTCAGCACATCTAGTAAAATAATGCTTATGTGCATTCATGCATCCGACAAAGTGCACATGGGGATTATGTAATTTTCTGTATGGAAGTAACTTCTGTGTAGAACAGCTTCACTTAGGACAAAGCTTCCTCAGTTGCTGATGTGATTCTAGAAAAACAGTCAAGGATGTGGAATTAATATTAATGGATAGACTTTTCTGAGAGCTGCCCTATAAAAAGGGCTTAAGGGTTATGAAGAGCTTTACTATTGGAAGGTGTCTTTACTATTGGAAGGGCCAATATACTATATGTTTGGGAAACTATTAGAGCTGAAAAAAATATCTGGATCATTTTTTCCAATTCTTCCTTTTTGTGTTCCTTGCAGCCTTTAGCTTGATTGTATTGGTATAGAATGAATTTTGTGCCATGAACAAAATGGAAGCTTCTTCCTTTTGAACTTTCATTTGATAAAGTTCCAAAGTAGCAGAGCATGTTTTAAATCCAGAATTGTTCTGTAGCTTGATAGAGCACAACACGTAAAATCATAGAGTTGTAAAGAGCATCAGAGGTAATTTAGTCCACCTTTTGGTAAAGGAAATTACTATTTTAGCATCTCTAATGGCAGGTGAAGCAAGGACACCAATTATGAAGTGCCTGGTGTTCCTGCTGTGTAGCCCACAAGCAGCTGGAACCTCCTTCAGGGGATCCGGAACCTTTGCTGAAAGTGAAGAAAGGAGGGGAAGTTTCAGTTTGGATTTAACTTTACATGTGCAGATGCTTCTTCCACATCTCAAAAGGATTGCTACTCTGACTGCTAGTATGCTGTAAACAGTTAGGTTTCAATAAAAGAACTGCTTCTAAAGTTTTTGAATCTCCTGAAAGGAAAGGAAAGAGGGAAGTGACTTGCTCATAAGAACTGTCAGGAAATGTTTCCTAATTTTTAGGGGAGATCTCTTTTCTAATAGTTTGAGCCCATGGGCTTGAGTCCTACCCTCTGGAGCAAGAAAAAACAAATGTGTTCCATTATCTATGTTCCAGCCAGCTAGATATTTGAAGATAGCTCTCATATTAACCATTTATTCTTGAGGCCAAACAACATACCCAACTGTTTCCAATCTTTCCTCACTGGAAGTCCACAGTCTTCCCAATGCCTTTGCCACCTTCGTATGAAACATTCCAGTTTTTGAACTGTGCTGCCCAGAAATGACTGCAGCACACTAGGATAGATCTAGCCAAAACAGAATAGAGTGGTACTATTAATTTTTATCAGAGACAATGTTGGGGCAATCAGCTAGGCCTGGAGTTCCAAATCTGTGAGAGGCCATCTGCCTACCACCCTGGTGCCCATGGGCACTTTCTGAAATAAGTGTACTGGGCCTAAAGAACTCTGTTGTATCTGATCCCCCAGGTTTAGCTGACTTTCTGCTCATACATGCTTCACTTCCTGTCTTTCCCCACTTTGCTTCTTCTGCCTCAACTTTTCTTTCTGAAGTACAATTTCTTCCTTTTCCTTGTCCATATATCCCTTTTTATGAATAGGGTTGTCCTTAGGAGATGAGGTCCCTTAAACAGAGATGCACAGAATTTAGAGCATATAAAATTGGCATATGCAGCTTTGTGCATATTTTGGCCTGTGGACCTGAGGCCTGGATCTTTTAGTACCTAGTACGGTCCTTGCTTTTTATGATTAGAATGCTATATTTCTGCTGATTCAGCCTTAAATTACATTAGCCTTTTAAGCACCTGCATTGCACAGTTGATCCATGTTTAAATATTATTGTTGTAATTACATTGTGCTTATAACCTACCTTTTTTCTTGTGAGAAACTCCAGGCAGATTACATAATATATATCCTCACAACAACAGTCCTGTGAGGTAGATAGGATTGAGAATGGGTGACTTGCCCAAAGTAACCCAGTGAGCTTCATGCCTATGGGGACTAGAACCCAGATATCCTAGGTGTCCAGTCCAGCACTCTAATCATCATAACACAGCTTAGGTTGTAGGCTACTAAAATCCCTCAAATCTTTTTAGGAACGTTGTCATGTGCAGGTAACTCCCTCTTTGCCTTCTCCAGCAGATTCAGGTGAAACTTTAGAAGTACAGTTCTTGCAGGTTACAGGACAGTATAGGCTTCAACCACATGGACTCATTGGAAGATGCAGTTGTATGGATCGTCCTCTTGCTGCTTGGAAACTCCCCATCTCAGGCTTCCAAGATTCCTGTGCCTTACCTGACTTAAGCCAACAAGGCAGGAGGAGTGACAAAGATTGCCTCTGCTGTTCCAACTCAGATCTCTTTTATTTTCATTAGATAGGCTTTTTAGCCTGTCTAGCAAGTATTCTTTGGAGGAAGATGGAAGAAAGCTTGAGGAAGTTCAGGATAAATTATATTCTGGTCTCTCTTCTCTCCTTTCTTCCCCACCCAGGGCAGAGTCCCTCTTCCCCCTCTCCTCTGCATAGTTCTCTAGGCACTGGCTGCAAGAGATAAGGGTTGGGTATCAGATCTCCACAACTTCCAAACCATCCTAGGGATGTTTACCAGGGAGCTTAGGATTGCTTTCTAATTCAAATTAAAAGTGTTTAAAAAACAAAGTAACTCAGAGGTGACCGTGCTAGCATCCCCTTAGTATGCATGCCAAGTTTAGGGTGCTTGGGTTTCATGTCCCTTTCACTGTGATGCAGACAAGACCCACATGCTTTTCATTGCTATTCTCAGTTTGATGTTGTTTACACATTTGAAGAGCTTCCTCTATAAGCATTCATCCAAGTCAGCTCTATGTATGTTGAGACAACAGTGGGCTTAAGACAGAACCCTGAGGCATTCCATTCCTCTTACGGATGCTGTCCATCAACATACTGCAAGTCCATAATTTACCAACTTATCCATAAGTATATAATGAGGGACATGATTGAAATCCTTGCTGAAAGGAAAATATCAATAGCATTCCTCTGATCTGTTAAAATAGTAGTTCTATCAAAAAAGCAATAAGGGAATGCAGAGAGAGGGATAATATAAAGTTGCTTCAGTCTGATTGAGAAGTGATATGGGTACCACTGCAGGATGCTAGAAGCTATTTATATAATATGTACAGTGTTTATGCTAAGTAGTTGTTTGAATTATTGATATCAGGATGTTAACGCTTCTGTCTTGCAGGTGACAACTATATCATTAATAAAATCACAAACATGTTTTAAGTAAAAGTGATCAGAAGCCTTCTGATGGGGCAGTCTATCTGGAGCAAGATGTGTGATGTTTTTTGCCTGCCTGCCTCTCTTTTCTTGATCTATATCACAAGGTGGTGCACTAGAACCTCTGGTAGCTATTCAGAAAAGTCACATTTATTTGTGAGAATTATTGCTGTTAGAGACTGTCAGTAACTCTTCAGTGAAATTTGAAGACATTTGCCTAAATGTAGATGATTTCAGATAACTCTAAACTCTGGAATATATGAATTTATTTGTACGGTTGCTAGAGAGGAGCAGCAGAGAAACCCTTTGAGTGCTGCTTGGAGGGGCAGAGGACATTTCTGCAGGGTAGGCTAACAAGTCTAAATGCTGTGTGAGTTCATAAAATGTTACTTCTGAGACTGTTGCCACTGCATTACTGTCCTTACTACCACTTTAAATGGAGTGCTGGTGCAATAACTACTTGACCATTTTAATCAGAAGCTTGTATATACAATTATTTTCATAGAATCTAATCTGGAACATGGCTTTCAAGTTGTTTGATGCAAATGACTTTATAATCTTTTTGTCTTGCGATAAGGCCAAGAGAATCTGTGTAATTACTCATATTTTAAGGAAGGCCTACCTAAACAAGTATTTAGTTCCCTGTTCATTACTTAATTATTGTAAGTTCTACAATTCAAGTTAGCTTTCCAGTTTGATAAAATTACTGTATCCTGAGAACTAGCTAAATACGCAAAGTGGCATGTTTCTCTGTCCCCTAAATATGCTTGGTGTGTGGATCTAGATTGTGGTATAAAAAAGCAGACTCTGCATGCATCAGCTCTGTCAGCCTAGTAGACTTCTTGGCCTGCCATTTCATATACAGCACTGCAATACACTGTACTTTAGTGTATTACTAAAACACTAATAAAGGTTGCTGTGTTAACTCTAGCCTTCAAAGAGTAGCAAAGGTATTGCCACATTTTAGGTCAAAATGTATACAGGACGCTTGTTTGATCAGGCATGGAGGATGCTAACAAAGGACAGTTTGGAGTGCTAGTTTTATCCCCTGCAGTTTTTATCTTTCTCCCTTTGATAGAGAAGGGAATCTTGAGTCTATAGTCAGATTTGAAATGAACACAAATTCTGTACTGAAAAAAATTGCTCATTTTTGGAAATGAAATGAAAAACATTGAGACTGTTCAATAAGTTTCCATAGTATTTTGATTGAATTTACCCACACCAATGTGGTTTTGGTAGTTGATCCTTGCAACACCAAGCAGTTTGAAGCACCCCTAGATGTGGCTATAGGGGTGACAGCAAACAGCTTGGCTCCCTTCCAGTTGGTTCTAGGACTTGGAAATTACATAATTTTTAGCTGTTTGTAGCCTAGATAGATTGGCAGTGGGAGCCATTGCTGGATCTCTCTTGGTCTTCTCTATGAAAGGTGATTTAAGCATCTGTGAAGGGGAATCTCCACTGCTTTGTCCAGCACTTTTCCCTAGTTGTATTATTGTATTAAGTTTGAGGATCTCCATAAAGCCATGTTAAAATACAGTATTTGCATCAGTGGTTCCTTTCATTATGCTAATTGCAGGGAGTCAATTTAAGAGTTTAGATCTTGAGCTGCCTTTCCTGCCTGCCTAAAATATTTTGGAATACTTGTACTAGGAAAGTTAAATCTTCCATCAACAGACTTTTGAGCCATGTAATATATTGCCTATCTGGAATTGTATCTATGAGAAAGGGTGTCCCGGGGCTGATAGGGTTTCTTCTGGTATTTATTGACGTTGTGTTGATGCATGAGGACTGGGTTGTTATGAAACACAAGTAAAGATCTTTGAAATAAATCCCGTCTTTTTCTATCTTGTCTGAAGAATTTGGAAATTTACAAATGAGTGGAAGCATACCAGAACTACAAACCTTGAGAATAGGTGATGCTTGGGAAGGTATAGATGGTGTGCTTTTGCTCTTCGTGTTCCATTTTTTATTTTTTCCCCTGTATAGTTCTCTCTGTCAGGAATAATTAGCTACAGGTTAAAGTTTTGACAAGAGACCTATCATTTTTGAAAGCTCTGGGCATAGCTAAAGATATAGTCTAAACTTTTTTCCTCCAATTGTATTTTTATGTCTTTTTAGGATTTATTATTTTCTTCTGAGTTAGATTGCTATATAATATCCTAAGGCAGATAAATAACATCTTTGTTTCAATATATGAACATATCTCAGTAAATGAATAGCTTGGTCATAGAAATGGGAAAAGTTAATTTTGGGTTTTCAAATATACATAGCAAGGCAATTTACCAATTAAACTTTCCCACACACATGTAATTTTTCTTTTGTTTGCACAATAAATGCTCAGTAGTAGTTCATTTGTTGTACAGAATCTAAAGTTGTCAGTCTTTGAAATAATACTTCTGTTCTCAAGCAATTGAATTCAGAAAACTTAATTTCTACTCTCACCTCAGCATGCCCATGGCTGTGAATGCTGTTGACATCCCTGATGAATGACACAAGTCCTTCCTTCCCTATTCCTGTTCCGTTTTGTACCTACTGCAATCTGATTTTATGCATGTGTTTGCTGTGCGTAGCAGTGCAGCTATCTTCTTTGCCCCACTCCAGTCCATTATATGTGGACTGATCATTGTGCTTTTTTCCCTGAATTTGAATTTGGACTTGTAAGATTAGGACACAAAGACTAAAATGAAGTTGAGCTGTGAATTCACTGATCATCTGGATAATAAACCCAATGTACAGTGGCTTTTTTTCCCTGGGCTTTATTTTATTTACTGTGCTGATTCTGTCAGCTTGCAAGTACCTGCTCTCACTTAGTGTAATTTACTTAATCTGGACTTTATTGGGATGTTTACAATGTTACCAGATCCAAATGTTTAATCAACATGCCAAGGTTTTAGCTGCCCCCTCAAAATCTATATTGAAGGAACAAAACCTGAGATAAAGAGCAAGAACCAAGTGACTGATTATTTTTTGCCTGGCTCGATGGGAATTTTTAATATTAGTTCTCAGGCTTTCCCTCAGGCTGTGACTCATGACTCATGACTCATTTGGTTTGCACCGTCACCACTTGCAAATAAGGTAGCTTAGTTATTGTGAGTGAGGCAGCTTGCTGGTGCATGCTGCTTATCAGTCCTGCTGCATGCAGGAGCTGTTGGACCTTCCATCTGTGGATTCGTTAGTGTTAACATGTGGTTGGTTTGTTCTTGGATTATTTCTGAACCTTGTCATGGGAAACACATAAAGGAATTCCTGGTTTGCATGTCTTTGCGTTGCTTAGCATCAGCTTCTGCTCATTCACAGTAATCCTTATTTTTTATTCAAAAATTATATTACAATGACATGCAAGACAGGCCACTATGAGGCTCAATTCCTGAACTGCAGGCACCTCTCTATTTATCTCTCAGGCTGCCCCGAGTCTAAAAGCTGGGAACACTAAGCACATGGCAACCCTCATAACATAACACAAAATGGTTTTACTATATGCAAAATGTATATTAGGCTTGCTTCAGCAAATTCAGTCAAGTGATGGTGATGTTCTTGATCTGCTTTCTTATTCAGCTTGTCTATTATATGACCAGTGTAATGAGGATGCTTTCTTATTTTTCATTTCAGGAGATCTCCCAAGACATCTTGTGAGGGGTGCATGGTGTGATAATGCAGAGGAACACTTCTTGAGATGGTCAACTTGTTATTCTACTTGATTCTCTGACTGTGAACCTATATTGTGAATTCCAGGATTGCTTGTCCCAGTAATGATCTGGCAGTCATTCCTTCTTCCTGACCCTTTCCAGGTTTTTGTATGCTGAGTAAAGGTGCTGAGGAATGGGTACTCACGTCTTGCCTTTTAGGGCCTGGGAGCTTGTGTAAAGGTATGTGTCTTTCTAAGAATCTTATGTTCTACAAACCTATCATACTTTTTAAAAAATAAGATTTTACCCATATAAAAAGCAAGGTACACTCTATAGTAAAGAGCAAAAAATACATGGTTAAATATTACCCTGATATTTGCTATGCTAAAACTTTGTAAATATGATTGATCTTCTGTGAGCTAATTTTGATGAGATTGCAGTGTTCCAAATTCTCCCACACCATTCAGATACTGTTAGAGTAGCAACTTCCTTCCAGTGTGCTGCTGTATATGTTTTAGCTGCCCTATACAGGTTTATAAGGTCACTGACATTAAATATTTAAGATAACATGATATTGCTACCTTAAGATTTTGTGATATTTTTGTTAATATTTGTTAACTGCTTTGGAGATTCGTCCAGTAATAAGTGGAATGTAAATTTTATAACTAAATGTTAAGCTAGTGCCAGAAACTGGCATCCCTATTTCTAGATAATTTTTCTGATTACAAGTATAAACCCGCAAAAATGTTAATGTTTGCTGAAGAATATCAGTGATCTTCAGTTTCTGACAATATCTTGGTTCTTGTTTTGGACTGTATAGCTTTTGTTTATAATTTCATGCTCTGGAACTGTTATATATTAGTGTAAGTATAAAAGGGTAGATTTCAGAAAAAAGAAAGATTGAAGAATGTTTAGTGTGTTTCTGCAGAGCATTTTTGTTAGGATACTTGCAGTGGAAAGGGAGATGGAACTAAGGGAGTGATCCTTTGGCCACCATGACATCATCCAAGGGGCCATAGAATACAGGATTCTTATATCTGAGGCAGGAGATAAGATTTTGAGCTTGCAGCTGGGAATCCACACACTAGTCCCATTCTTTATAGCCAGCATGGAAAGAACCATTTGGCCACATCATCAAGGTTGGAAATTTAACCTAGGGGAGGGTTTAAGAAGGTATCCTGTCTTTCTCTGCAGCCTCCTTCCTTCCTCATCTGAAGAACCCCATCTAAATAATTGCCATCTAACAGAACTGCAGAGTAGGAGTGGGAAAGCAAAGATTTGCCTTCACCACTTCTCCCATTCTTCATAGGATGTCTGTAATCTTTTGAGCTCAGAGGCTTATATGTATATCGATTGGATTGTACTGAAATCATTTTTTTCCTCTGTTTCAGATGCAGCTGTGATCTTCGGCTGTTTGTCTCATTGAAGGGACCTAATGTTTTACGTTATTGGTAAGCAAAGAAAATCTGTTCATGGGATTTAGAAAGAGCCATGGGTCTAATTTTAATCTGGCCATTGTCTGTTTCCCTAATATGGAGAGATACTAACTTATATGTAATCTTTTCCTGGCATAACAAGATCCTCAGACCTACTTCGGTTCCTTTCTTTAGCTCTTGTGTGATGTCAGAAACTGTGAAAAATGTTTTAGCGCTTGAGGCAGTTAACCTCAAAATGCTCCCATGTCAAGGCAGTGAAAGTAATAAACTGATTAATTAATCATTTGTCACCCTTTAAGAGTACTCAGAATCTGCTGCCTAATGGTAGGACTTAGCTCTGTGTGGAGAAATAGTTCCTCTGATAGTTCCACTTTAAATGCTGTGCTTTCTTATCCTGTGTGGTTCTGGGCACGCTGCAGTGCTAAAACTCTGCTCTTGTTGATTCTGTCAATGGATATTCAGTGTCTTGCTGGATCTTATAACCACCAATTTTCTCTGTGTGACAGGTGGGATCACAGTATCTGTGGTAGCTTTCTTTTTCACCATTAAGTTCCTCTTTGAGCTTGCCGCACGTGTAGTCAGCTTCCTCCAGCATGAGGACCGGGAGCGCCGAGGAGAGCGGACCATTTATGACTACGTGCGAGGCAATTACTTGGATCCCCGCTCTTGCAAAGTCTTCTGGGATTGGAAGGATCCCTGTGAGGTGGGCCACAGCCTGGCCTTCCGAGTGCATGTAAGGGAATGCTTCTGTTTCCATGACTATTTGGGATTAAGTTTGCCTTTTTTTTGGCAGAGCAAAATCCCTTCTCTAGAGGGAATGGGGATTATTCCGTCTAGCTTGTTGAATCAGTTTTGTGTTATGAGCTGATCCTTTCATGTGTTGATAGGAATGACTATCACAGAATTGGGTAGTATCTAGGAGGTATCTCCTATGCATTTGCTTTTTCAGTGACTTTTCTGTGGGCTTCAGGTTACTGGATACAGCCAGGGCACACATAGTGATCTCACTGTGAGGATTATGTTTTGTATTCTTTCCTTATGTATTTAATTTTGTTGAGTTTGCCTTGTATGCACCCATCAGATCTGGAGGTTTCCTGTCTTTAAACATACTGGGAAGCAGTAATTTTTGTTAATGATGTTAGCATTTCTACCATATGATTTTAGGCTCAGAGGAAAGTGGATTTCTTTTCTGTACCCTAATTTCATACAGTTACCATATTATGGAATAATGGCTTGTTTTGCACTTACTGAGTCCTTATTACACAGATGTAAGAGTATAACTAATGATGCTGCAGGTTATTATTTACATGGTTTTTTTTAATTTACCATGCAGTTATTCTATAAGAATGGCCAGCCTTTCCCTGCCCATCGTCCTGTGGGCCTGCGAGTTCACATCTGCCATGTGGAGCTAGCAATGGATATTCCTGTGACCCAGGAAGTGCTTCAGGAGCCCAGTTGCAATGTGGTGAAGGTGGCATTCACTGTGCGTAAGGCTGGGCGCTATGAGATCAGCATAAAACTTGGAGGCTTAAATGTGGCATATAGTCCTTACTACAAAGTCTTTCAGCCAGGTAGGGTCTGGTTAAGCCAATAACAAGTAGATGGGAAAACAGATATATGAGCACTGCTACAGTTGTTGCCACTTAATATGTATTTAGCACCAATACCTTACTCAGTGTTGCATTGTTACCCAGCAAACTGTTGCTTACATTGCCTGCCCAACTTTGGGAATGAACTTGAAGTTATGATCACTATTTAATTGAAGGGCAGGCCAAAATGAATAATATTCATTTAAATAACAGAAAAACAAGCAGTATTTTAAGATGGTGGGGCATGATAACATGATAACCCTGATTTTCTAATAATCTGGTCTTCCTTCAATAAGAGCTTTGGTTTATTTGAGCATATTCAGTAAGGATTCAATGACATTTCAATTTTCAATGGATTTTCAATGACAAAGGATTCACCTTTACAATGACATTTGAAAGAGCCCACTGACATTAACTGTTATGGATCAGACCCTTGCTACCATCTTTTGAAATGGCTATTTGAGATGGGAATAGAACCACTGGTGTAGAATTCCTCCATCGGATTTTAAATTTTTAGCTGAGAATGCACCGGGGGTTTTTAAACAATTTTTTTATTGTTATATTGTTATTATTTATGTATTTATGTATCCTTTGTGAGCCGCTCCAAGGCTTTGTTGCAATGGGGGCGACATAGAAATGTTTTAAATAAATAAAATAAATAAATCTCAGAAAGCTGTTTCAAAGGAATCCCATGTAGGAGTCACTCCTTCCATTCCTCTGGCAAAAATTAATCTAGAAAGTTGGTGCTATCCAGTAATGTTAAGAATTGTATAGAACCACCCATTTGAACACTTTGCCCTAAATGAATGGTTGCAATATGCCAAAGTTGATGCATTCCTTTGAGTCTAGAAGGGCATGTTGTAGGAGTGGCCTCACAACCACTTCCTCTTGCAGTAGGACATTACTGTAGTGTGGTGTATTGCTTAAGAGTGTGGGACTGGGACTCAGGTGATCTGGATTCTAGTCCCTGCTCAGCCATGGAGCCAACTTTGTGACCTTGGGCCAAAGACCTACCTACCTCACAGGGTTGTTGTTGTTGTGGGGATAAGAGAACAGGAGGAGAGCAATATAAGCTGCTTTAGTCCTCAAAAAGTTGGGATATATCTAATAAATCAATCTATAAATTGCATTAATCACATTTGGACCCAGGTTCTCAATCTCCTGATAGGTATTATAAGGGTAGATTAATAAAGGGTCAGCAAAGAGGCCCTTCTCCAAACGTCTTGTCTGCATCCTCAGGTTACAACAGCTAAAACTGATCCATTGAAATCTGATTAGCTATTACTCTGGAAATAAAGCTAGGTCCAAATGATAACAAACAGAAGCAATTTTATCCTTAAAAAATGCTTGGCAAGGAAGTCACATTGGGATACTGAAGTTTTTTTAATGTGTCTCTTGAGGCCAAATTGGAAAAAGCCTGAAGCCATTTAGAGAAGTTCCACTGGATAGCACTGAGAAGACAATATGATGAAGTATTGCTTCCTTGCAACCATCACTACCATATGCTATATGGGCTAAATGGGCTCTACCACATGTTTGATTAGATTCATTTTGCATTGTCCACTGTCTATTAGCTTGTCCTATCAGCTATATTGTTTGCAACTAACTATACACTAAGGCTCTGAATGAACCCTATCCAGCAGGTCAGAGGGTGCAGGAACAATTGTGTGAACTACCCAAGTTAAGGCTTCTGCAGGTAATTATCTGAGAATGTCTAAAAACTGTCAAAATCCACCAGTCTCTGCAGACAAGCCATTCTAATTAGCCTCTCATGAATGTATATTGAAACTTCACCCAGAAGTAATCTTTATCAGGCCATTGGTATGGAGAAGCAATTTGCCACATCCAAATCACCATCTCCTACTCCACTGAAAATATCAAATCAGAATGTTATTGCCATAATGTTGGATCAATGGCATCTTGTGACAGCTCCATGGTTGTCACTGCAGTCAGGAAAGTATCAGCTGTTCACTCTGTGCATTTCTTTATCAGTCAACTTCAATTTCTGCTTCTTTATCAATATTTAATTGTTAAGTTTAACGTTTATTCTAATTTCAAGTCATCTTGTACTCCTCAGTCTATATTACATGTGTTTCCAAACTGTCTTTTCTTTCTTATTTCAGGGATGGTGGTTCCCTCCAAAACCAAAATTGTTTGCCATTTCTCCACTCTGGTGCTGACATGTGGACAGCCACACACTTTGCAGATAGTTCCCCGAGATGAATATGATAATCCTACCAGTAACTCAATATCACCGATAGATGAGCACAATTACAGCCTCACAATCCATGAGGTAAGTGATGGCTGTCCGCTCCCCTTTGCTTTATCTTCTATAAGATTAGAGCTTGGTAATACTATCTAACATATGTTCATTTTGTCTAGCTTGGTCCCCAAGAAGAAGAACCTTCTGATGTCTTGTTTGAAAAGTCCGTGGTGTCCAATCAAGAGACATGTCAGATTCTCCTGAGACTCACCCTACTACGTAGGGGGTGTTTCCGTGCCTGCATCTCCTACCAAAACCAGCCTATTAGCAATGGAGAATTTGATATCATTGTTCTAAGTGGTAAGCCTAAAAAATGCACTATCTTCATTTGCATTTTAACTCCTCCACATAATCCTCTTGACAGATATTTAAAGTTTGTTGTATTCACATCTAACCTGTCCTTGCAGAAGCTTAAGCTGTCATTGTAACATGAAGGCAAGGTAGGCTGAGAGAGAAAGGCTTATTCATGTTCACTGAAGCAGCTGTGAACTCCAGCATGTGGTTTGAATCTGGTCATTCCACATACAAATCTTACATTCAAGCCATTACAGAACACTCTAGAAATGTTGTCTTCCCTATAACTTCACTGAAAAAGTCTGTCTCTTTCTCCTTGTTGATTTTATTAGTTTGCTACTGGTAAAGAATGGTAGGTAGAGGATACCTGCTAAAATATTACTGTCAGCTATTCATTCTGTTTTTTTACATTTGTTTGGTAGGAAAAAAAATAGGTGAAATAGTATGAAATCCATGATTTACATGAATACTCCACAGATACAGTCCTGAAAAACTACTCACTATGTACTCAGTGATCCAATCCTGACGGTTAAGAAACAGTTTCAGGATGTGGAAATTTGGAATGGGCTAGTAGTGAGTAGTGAAAAGCTCAAATAGTTTTCCCTTCTAATGTGCTTCAAGTGCATCCTGCCTTTTTTCTTTAATTATGAAAAATGTTGGATTTCAGTTGCACCCATTTGTTGCAACTGAACAAACAAATGGCTTTAGTACCAAAATACATTAAATTCATTAAGAAATGCATAGCTGAATATTTGGCTTACTGAAATCAGTATAAGAATTTAAGTGTGATCTCTCACAAATTTTTTTAATTATGTTGTAACCTTTGCCCTATTAGATGATAGAACAACAAGAAGATATGTCATGGTAATAATTTCCTTACTTTTGTCATATTCCTACAACATAAAAGGGCAGAGGCTTAAACAAGGCTCTGCAATTCAAGCAAGGCAACTTTACCCCCAAAGAAAAATGAAATTTTATAATTTTGAAGGGAAATTAACCAGATAAGTGGTGCAATGCTATGGTCCCTAGGAACACTTACCAGGGGCCATAGGATACATTGGATCTTTTCCTCTGAAGACAGAGAGGTTCAAACTTAGAGGGTGAGATCTGACCTCAGAACCCTCCTCCTGCACCATATGGAAATATTTACAGCCCTTATCGCTTTGAGGCAGAGAAGGGAGGGGAACAGTGGGTAGTCCCTGGGAGTGCTGATCTCAGATCCCCAGCCCTGTCCTGGCGAGAGAACTCAACTAGTCTTAGAGGTGATGTACTTTTGTTACATCCATTATTTTCAGAGGGCCTGAAACAGTTAAAGCAGAATGAAATAGAAACTGGAGGGAAGACTTATGCTTCTACTCTTACAGTCTGCTGAGCTTGCATCAACATTGTGAAGAACGCCTATTTCTTCGTCATGGCCTCTGTGCATCACACATATGGGTTCTGCGCCTGCGCAGTGCCTCTGGCCGGAAGATTAACAGCTAACGGTTTTTTGGCGGGGACTCTGCTCCCCCTCCCCCCTAGCAGTATATAAGGAGCAGAGTGACCGCCATTTTCAGTCTTTGCGACCGCCGTTCGCTGTGCCTCGTGCCGCTTCGCTCTCGCTAAGATTTATCACTTACCTCGTTCCTTGTTCGAAAATCTTGCCCTTTCTCTTACAATTTGTATTCCTTGCTCTTGTTGTTACTACTTCACTTATATTTCTTAACGTGCACTATTTTTTCTTCTTCTTATCGTTCCTAAAAAAAAAAAAAAATTACTTTCCCGCTTTACTATCTTCCTCTCTTCAAATTTCTACGATGGCGCAAAGGGCGGCGTTCCGCAAATGCGGAAAATGCGGCTCGAAAATGCCCGCAGCAGATCCGCATGATCTGTGCCTCCTTTGTTTAGCGGAGGGGCACAGAACCGATAAGTGTGGCCATTGTTTGGCCTTCTCAAAACAGGCGAGGAAAAATAGAACCGCCTTCGAAAACTCCTATGGGATCAGGCCCTTCTCCAATCTGACCGCCTGGTGGCTAAGTCCACTGTTGTGGCCCCACCCGAAGGCCGTCCAACTTCGGCTGAGTTGCCGCAATGCCCGGCCTCCTCCATTGCTCCGCCTTCACGCTCCTCTCAGGAAGGCGCACTTGCTATGGCCGACCAGCCTGTTTCCCTGCCGAGGAAACAAAAGGAGAAAAGAAAGCACGGTGATTCAGATAAACACCCTGTGCTTAAGAGGGCCAAGAAGGACAAGACGAGCAAACCGGCTAAAAAGCCGAGGAACCCTGAGCAGGCAAAACAACGCCATTCAGACTCAGTCTCGTCTTTGATCCCGATACCGGTCTCAGAACCGACTCCCTTGGTACCGAACACCCAGGAAGTTATGAGGGTCACCCCACCAGCTTCACCACGCCGGCTGGCTGTCGAACCCGTCATGGAATTGAGGAGGGGCTCCATCTCTGATGGGGAAATAAGAGACTCTCCACCTAGAGCTCGATCACCAACCCCAATGCCGTTGGTACAGATGGATACTGATATTGCCATCTTCCCTCCAAAAAGCCGTAGGAGCCGTTCCTCGGATGCAAAATCTGACGATTGGTATCAATCCAGATACTCCTCCGCTCCGAGACGAGCAGAGTACGACTCTGCAGGCTGTTTCCCGACCAGGGAATGATCCTCGCCACCAGCCCACCGGGAGCGTTTCCATTCGACTCCCAGAGATGCCCCGAATGCCCCATCTAGAGAACGTGGCAGATCGGGGTCATCGGCTGAATCTTCCTCCAATGTGTCCCCCACTTACTGGATGGAATCTGAAGATTCTGAGGCTGATTCAACCTCACCGGATGCGGCAGTTACGTCACAGGGACCGGGATCACCTGATGAACCCTATATGTCATTCAACGATCTCATGGCCAGATTAGTGAGATCGCTTGATATACAAACCCACCAGCAGCCGGGACCGAGCACGGCCCGCTTTCATGATGTTGTTAGAGGCGAGCGATCCACATCCATTGCCTTGCCGCTTATTACAACTGTAAGACAGGCAATGACCCAACCATGGGACCTCCCAGCTCAGCCGCAACCGACTTCACGGAAATATGAGTCCATGTATCGGGTGCGAGAGGAAGACATCCCGTTTCTCCTCCGCCACCCAAAACCAAATTCGGTTGTGGTGGAATCATCGCAGGGTCGGGAGGCCCGTGGATATACCTCGCCTAGAGATAAGGAGGGCAGAAAGGTTGATTCCCTTGCCCGTCGAGTCTACGCAGCATCGGGCCTAGGGTTAAGGATCTCTAATTATGAGGCCACCCTGGCGCGTTACCAATATTTTTTGATGCAACGCCTAGATGCCATCATAGATACGATGCCAGGAAACCAAGGTGAACTTGCAAAAAGCTTTGTTAAAGAAGCGATGCAAGTCGCTGTGCAACAGCTTTCCACTGCAAGGCACCACGTAGACTCGGATTCGAGGTTGCTGGTAGGGGCCATTTCCCTCCGCAGACACGCCTGGTTGCGTAATTGCAACTTCCCTGAAGAAATGAAGCAGAGAATTGAAGAAATGCCGTTCGACGGATCCGGTCTCTTCCACGCAAGAATGGACAGTAAACTGAAGAAGAGTCACGAGTCCCGCATGACCGCTCGTTGTATGGAGCTAAAATCTTTACCTAGATGTGAGTGGTCATGGTCACGCCCGCAATACCGTTCGCAATTTCCGCTTCGGCAACAACAACAGCAACAACGTCACCAGCTCCTCAGGCAGCAACCACCCCAACGCTTCCAACAGGGCCGCCGTAGATTTGATACGGACAGGCGACAGCGTTGGCGTTATGAGCGAACCGTTCCTCTCCTCCCATCTTTACCCTTCCCCCTCTCATTTGGGGATCGACTGAAGAGTCGACTCTCCATTTGGGAGTCAATCACATCTGATGGATGGGTATTATCTATCATCCAGCACGGATATGGAATCAAATTCGATGTTGTGCCATCTCCGAGTCCTATTCGATATACTACGCCTTCTTTGGTGCTGTTACACGAGATTCAACAACTTCTCGTTAAGGGAGCTATTCGTCGCCTCTCGTTATCGGAAGGACTCCATGGATTCTATTCCAGATACTTTACGGTTCCGAAACGTGATGGAGGTCTTAGACCAATACTGGACTTGAGAGCTCTTAATAAATTCATTACACCAAAGAAGTTTCGGACCACGCTTCAAAGTATTCTTCCGCTGCTGGGGAGAGGGGATTGGTTCGCTTCATTAGATCTAAAGGACGCTTATTTCCATATTTCAATACACCCAAGTTATAGGCGTTTCCTACGCTTTGCGGTAGACCAGAAAGTTTATGAATTCAATGTTCTACCATTTGGATTGGCCACGGCACCAAGGGTTTTCACGAAGTGTATGGCCCCTGTGTGTGCACACCTCTGGCTGTGCGGGATTCGAATTTACCCGTACCTTGACGATTGGTTGCTTGTTGCCGATACGGAAGCTGCACTGGCGTCTGCTATTGAACTTACATGCGCTCTGTTGCACGACCTTGGACTTTGCATTAACCGACGGAAATCTTCCCTTGTCCCTACGCAGGTGATCGATTTTATCGGAGCTCGACTGGATTCGAGGTCGGCAAGAGCCTTCCTTCCTCGAGACAGACGATATGCGATCGTTCATCACATTGCCCGAATTCGGCAAGCAATAACAGTTTCCGCCCGATCTATTCAAAGCCTTTTGGGGCACATGTCTTCTGCCATCGCTGTGGTCCCTCATGCCAAACTACGGCTACGTCCCCTTCAACTGTTCTTCAACAAACTGTTTCGACCACAAATAGACCCTCCTACCAAACGAATCCGACTATCGGCTTCAGTTCTCCACTCCCTGCTATGGTGGACGGACTCAGCCAATTTAACCGTCGGCGTTCCATTTCAACCTCGGTACCCCACAGTAACCCTAGGTACCGATGCGTCACTGCTGGGATGGGGGGCCACCTGCTCCAATCTAAGTACCCAAGGGAGATGGAGCCATCGGGACAGCAGGAATCATATCAACTTTCTGGAACTCCTTGCCGTTTTCAAAGCACTGCAAGCTTTCGAGGATCTGCTCCTCCATCAGATTGTTCAGGTGACCTCCGACAATGTGGCGACGGTCTTTTATTTAAACAAACAAGGAGGAACCCGATCCCGGAAGCTAGCACGTCTCGCCATGCAGATTTGGGACTGGTGTATACCGAGAGGTATCACTATTCTAGCAGTTCACCTTGCGGGCACCGACAACATGCAAGCCGATCTTCTGAGCAGACACATGTCACGCTCCCACGAATGGGAGTTAGACCGTCGGGTTCGAAACAGGTTATTTCACCGATGGGGTCGACCAGACATCAACCTGTTTGCCACTCAAGGGAACAGAGTGTGCAGGACCTATTGCTCCAGAATGGGAGTGGGTCAGGACTCCCTGGGCGACGCTTTCATGATTCCATGGACAGGAGTGATTTTTTACGCTTTTCCCCCGATCCCACTTATCATGAGAGTGCTTGCAAAGATTATTCATGAAGGAGCTACAGGAATACTGATCACTCCATGGTGGCCACGACAGCCATGGTTCCCAACTCTCCTTCAAGTTTCCAGGGAGGATTTTCTTCAACTCCCTCTTCTCCCGTATCTAATCACCCAGAAGGAAGGCACAGTTCGTCACCCAGACTTGCAATCCCTGAAACTGACCGCATGGCAGATACGGTGACCCGGGGCGATGCATTGGTATCGGCACCGCCTACTATTCCGACTACGCATGCCCAGCAGAGCCTGCACCCGGATCTGCAGTATATTCTTGATTCTGCTCTACGACCATCTACCAGGAAGTCGTACGCAGCAAAATGGAAAAGATTTTCTAACTTCGCCAATGTACACTCTTTTCCAGCCTCCTCAGCCTCCGTCTCACAGATACTTCAGTTCCTTTTTGAACTGCATCAGTCTGGACTTAAACCTTCATCTATAAAGGTTTATATAGCAGTGCTCTCCCACTACAGAGGAGCTATACATGGTTTCTCCCTTTTTACTCAACCTCTAATAAAAAGATTTTTGAGAGGCTTAAATAATCTGAATCCCACTGTAAAATCCCTAATGCCTACATGGAGTCTCTCGGTGGTTCTACATGCATTAACTCGATCACCGTTCGAGCCCATGGCGACAATTGGTTTACGCCTTGTTTCTTGGAAGACAGCCTTCCTCGTGGCAGTGACTTCAGCACGTAGATCCTCTGAACTATGCGCTCTTCGAGTGGATCCCCCTTTTCTAAATTTTCACAAGGAAAAGGTGGTTCTTCGCATGGATCCGTCTTTCCTGCTGAAGGTTGCTACCTCTTTCCATATGCAACAGGAAATTGTGTTACTGGCGTTTTTTCCGGTCCCATCGAATCCAATAGAAAGATCTTTACATATGCTGGACGTCCGCCGCTGCTTAGCCTTTTATAGATCCAGGACTGAATCCTTTCGCCATTCAAATAGACTCTTTGTGAAGTATTCGGAGCACGACAGGGGTTCTCCAGTTACCTCTCAGCACCTTTCGAAATGGATAGTTAATACAATTGTCCTAGCTTATCAGCTCGCCAAGTTGGATTTACCGTCTACTCCAACAGGCCACTCCACAAGAGCTGTCGCTGCCTCTTCAGCCTTTGCATCGGGAGTTCCGATAGAGGACGTGTGCAAGGCGGCCATTTGGGCTACCCTGTGCACCTTTGCCAAACACTATCGGCTAGATGTCCGTGCCAGACAGGATTGCTCTTTTGGCAGAGCTGTACTTTCGTCTGTCCTTCGATAATGACACCTCTCTCCTCCGGTTGGGGTAAGCTTGTTATTCTACCCATATGTGTGATGCACAGAGGCCACGACGAAGAAAAGCAGGTTGCTTACCTGTAACTGATGTTCTTCGAGTGGCCATCTGTGCAGTCACACAACCCACCCTCTGACCCCTCTTGGTGTCATGGGTGGTTCGATTATTTTTACTTAAATATTATAATCTCTCCTATAGCTCGTACCGCTATTTTTACCCTTCTTGTACTAATGTGCAATGTTATAGGGAACCGAACGTCGGTCTTTCAAAGACTGAAAATGGCGGTCACTCTGCTCCTTATATACTGCTAGGGGGGAGGGGGAGCAGAGTCCCCGCCAAAAAACCGTTAGCTGTTAATCTTCCGGCCAGAGGCACTGCGCAGGCGCAGAACCCATATGTGTGACTGCACAGATGGCCACTCGAAGAACATCAGTTACAGGTAAGCAACCTGCTTTACTCATGGCTGTGTGTTGCTTCCAGGGAAGTTCTTTTTCAGGTCCATATTATGAGTGCAGGGTCTGTACCATCCAGAAACTTCTAAAAGCTGCAGTCTCTTAAATTGTTTTACAATGATTTCTGAAAACACTATGTAAATTAAGTGTATGTGGGGACAGGGTTGTACAGGAGGGTTGGTAATCCTGGGGAAATAGGTTTGAAAACACAAATCTGAGGTAAACAAATCCTAAATGGAGTGCCATTTCTCTTGCCTTCTTATTAAATAACAAAAATTAAACATCAGTTCCTGTGCACATGAATGTCTGTTGAGACTTTTTATCTGTCTTTTAGTATATCCAGCCAAAATATCTCCTTTTGCAAGATTTTTTAAAAGAATTTCAGCTGTTGTAGCCTTTTCAGAACCTAATACATGAAACCCTGTGAGTTTTGGCCATGTTAAGGTTTGCATCTGTCTGTCTTGTATCTTCTAGACAATGAAAAGAATATTGTCGAGCGAAATGTTTCTACCTCAGGGGTTGGTAGCTACTTTGAGGCCTACCTTTACAATGCTAGTAGCTATGCCAATACCCAGTGGCATCTTCCACCCCTGCATTTGGGTTCCTCTCAGCGCCGACCTTCTACTGCTACTGAAGATGAGGATGAAGACTCTCCTTCGGACAGCCAGACCCCTGAGAAAGTAAAGAAACCAAAAAAAGTATATTGCTACGTTTCACCCAAGGTAAGAACAACTTGTTGATTTCTCGACCTTCAAATAGTATCTAAAATATTTTCATGTTATTTCCATTAGTGCTGTTATGTATGTCTGCTGTTACCAAGTAAGCTTCAAGAATCAGTTCAGTCTTAATGTTTGGCCATTATCACTGATGAAAAGATAGAAAATTACACTGTGAAACAACTGATGTACTTCTGCAAGAAGACACTGGAGATCAAACTGCCCAGGCCTTCCTTGGTTTATCCACTGTCTTAACTAGAAATCCAAATAGTGACTAAATTTTATTTATTGCTTTTTTATTTATACTATTTTAATATTGCTTAACATCCCAAAATCTCAAGATTTCACAATTTATATAAATGCAGTATAAAATTGTATAGAAACAGCATGAGTTCAATAAAAGCAATAAATTGTATAGTTGAGATTATTTTGTTTGATTCAAGAGAAGGGACTTACCTCTTGTTCAAGTTCTTTCAGAATAGTGTATTCAAGAAAATGTGACTCTTTATGGTATCTGTTTTCTTTGAATTCAAAGCAATTCTCAGTAAAGGAGTTCTACTTGAAGATTATTCCTTGGCGCCTCTTTACCTTCAGAGTATGTCCAGGCACCAAGGTGAGTTAATGAAACTTTCAGCTGAGTGGTGGGATTTGCTTGTGTTTTTTTGTGTTCATAGTTGGGGAGAGCTTAGGGAGAATGGTTCACTTGTTTTATCAGTCTAACATGCAAAAGTCTGAAATACAACAGCCAGCATTTTAGATCATGCTTGGGGCCTGCTGTTTGCTTCCCCTACATTGTATCTGCTTCTGGCCATTTAGCCTCTTTCTTCTTACAATTTCTTCTCCCTAACATAATGAAACATGTACTGAGGCTTACTCGGTGGAACGGGGATTTATAAAAGTGTCATCTTAGTTGGCCATTTGACAGCACCTTTCCTGCTTCACTGGTTCTGAATAGGTGGAGGGGCGAGGGAACATGATCACTCAGAGTGATCTTGCTATGTCTGCTTCATGTGCTGTGCCTTTCTGGTGAATGATGGTTTCCCTCCTTTCCTGCATTTCTTTGCTGCTAGTTTTCTTACCATGGGCCTGACCCTGTACACAAGCTGCTGACACTGGTGGTGGATGATGGGATCCAGCCTCCTGTGGAGCTCAGTTGCAAGGAGAGAAACATCTTGGCAGCTACTTTCATTCGCTCTCTACATAAAAATATAGGTAAAATGAGTTGGGACACAAGATTCGTTGCTTTCTGTTGAATGTCTGCCAAATGGCATAAACTAATATATAAGGTTGCTAATATATTTTCTGTGTTGTAAATTGCAAGCATTGCCATCAGGAATTGCATCCCTTCTCTGTGCTATACATCCTCTTGTTCAATGTTTGCTCATACTTATATAGAGAGTAATTTAGCTTGATTAAAGGGCACTATAATTGATTGTAGAACATTTTCTTGTTTCTGATAAAGAGTTTGAGTACATTAGTATCTGATATTTATTTGAAAATGTTTGCATGGTTTTGTTTTGAGGAAGTTATTCTTATTTCTTGGCCTCTTTTAAAAAATTCCTTTCCATTTTGTGATACCAGGGTAGGGGGTGCAATTAATGCATTTGCACACATGGGCTGTATATGCAAGAGAATGAACATACAGAAGAAATAGTATGTGTGTGCAAAGATACAGATATGGGAAAAGGAAGAAGATAATTGAGATAAGGAAATGTTCATGTGTAGAATATTTATTAGCATGCTATCCATGCAGTGCTGCTTACATAATTTATTTAAAATATTTGTACCCCGTCCTATACGAAAATCATCCCAGGATGGTTTACAAGAAGTATAACAATCAATAAATAAAGCAGCAAATAACAAATAAACAACAAAAATTTAATATCAACAAAAACAAAATGTGACTGTGAGTATTAGAAACCAATTAAAATTCCTAATCCTTTCAATAGTGGGTAAATATAAAGGTTTTCACCTGGTGCCAAAAGGAATATAAAGTCGATGCCAGGCGAGCCTCTCTGGGGAGCACCTTCCATTTTGTTTGATGTAAACAATTTATTTACCACTTTATGCCAATAAAATATCAAAGCAGTGAAAAATAAAATGGGGAAAGGAACAACAATTAAAATACATAATTGAAATGTTAAAATTGGTATATACTGATAAGTCATCATAGGGTGGTCAAGGAAGACTTGTTTAAATAAATATCTTCAGCTATTCTGGTTTATCTTCATATCCTCAAGTCCTGTAGACTTAGACTGGGAAACCTTTGGGGATGGCAATAATCTTTCTTTTTTTCTACAACTCCTATGTTTCATCCATGCAGATAATAGGGCTATCTATAAGCATGCATCTGAGACTATGCAAGAAGCTATTTTGAGGATTCTGTCAAGACTGACTCTGCTACTTTCTACAAAAAGGGGCTGATAATACAGAGATAATTATAGGTTTGTTGGTTTCAGGAGGCTCAGAGACTTTTCAAGACAAAGTAAACTTTTTCCAGAGGGAGCTACGTCAGGTGCACATGAAGAAACCGCACTCAAAAGTTACTCTGAAAGTCAGCCGCCACAACCTTCTGGAATCAGTGAGTGTGCCTAGTTCAGAAAACTTGGAAGATCATAAATTTCTGTCTCAGATTATGCAAAGTAAAATAATTCTCTTTCCATTCTACATACTTTCACTTTGAGCTGCAGAATGGGCTTAAATAAGAAGGGGTTAATAGTATTTCTTATTCATGTACAATACCTGATTATATTTTTTCTTCTGAAGCCTATGACATTGAAATGTCTGCATTAAGCCAAGCACTAGTTCTTTTCAATATGATAAAACCTAGGGGAAATGTGATTTATGAGGCAGGAAAGTCATTATGCTATTGGAAGTCACCAAGACAAATAGTGATACTGACTTTATTTTGGTTTTTGTTTGTTCTTGCAGTTAGGCGAAAATATATCTATATGCACAAAGATAACTTTGAATATAAATGAGCACATTTATATTGGCATATTGCAAAGAACCACAATTAAATTAGCTAAGACTATGGATGATGCAATACCAGGACTACCAATCATTTCAGTTAGAACAATTAAATACTTTCTTCTTGAAGTGCTTTTGTTGATCCCAAAACAAGAAAAAATAGCTAGTAAGCATACCACAACAATTACTTAAATCATGGGATAAATATAAAGGAAAACTAATTCCAGATATTTTCCATTTGTTTCAGTTGTTGGGATCACTATCTGTATAAGGAAAAAACAAGCACAAGGCGTGGAAACTTGTGAAATATATAAAATGTCAGAATTTTGAGGATTACTACTGATTGTTCATAAAGCCGATACTAGAATAGCTCAGATGTTCTGGGCCTAGACACTGGCTTGGTTTCAGTATTTTCAGATAAGATGCTTTATTGCAGAGGCATTGGGTACATTAGCATAAATGAACCTTACAGCTTGGTAAATCTGTATTTAAAGAATCAAAGAATATACTGCGAACAATTATGCAGTAGTTAAAGAGCTGAGAATTAAAAGTCAAGGATTTACATTGATTGTGAAAAACTGACAAAACAAATAAGTATATAAATTGATCCACATTGATCAATAATCCCTGATACTTATGTACCAGATCTTATTTATTTATTTTCTGTACTGTGCAATAGCCAAAGCTCTCTGGATAGTTTATAGCAACACATAAAAATACAGCATAACATATGAACTACATTAAATATCATAAGTTACTATACAAGAATTTAAAACCAAATTTGAAACACAGATTATTAGTACAGCTTAAACAAAATAAATCTTAAGGCCTGTTTCAGTAGCTTACAAAGTCCCAGTAAACTAACTGAATGCCCTATGGTCTATTGAAAAGGTATTATGGTTGGCGCCAGGCAGACCAAATAGCATAGAAATTGGAATATATACAACTAATGAATAGAATATAAATAGGTCTTTAGGAAAATATATCCTTAGTCATTCATATTTGAAGTTACAGTTATGTATATGTTTTTTCCTTTAACTCCTTTGGATTCTCTTGTTTGCTCTCAGATATCCCTTGTTGCTGTTTCTATTGCCATTACCAGCAAGAACTCTTCTGTTGAGCTCAGACACTTGAGTCTCTTCTTCAAAAATTTTCCTTTAAAATACTTACCTAGAAGTATTGATTCTAATTTAGCAAGGAGGATCAGTGATGTGCAGGCAGTTACTATTCTATAAGGCAGGTATATGCAGAACATAGGTTGAATATGTCTGTTAGATCTCTCAATAATTTATAGTCAGTAACCCAGCGAGGATTTCTGAAATTCAATTGTTTAATAATAGCAAGAACGAAACAACTGCTTCACCCTGATCTGTACTGCTGAAATTAAGAAGGCTCAATGTAGCCAGGATTTTTGTGTGAAGGCAGTAGGTTTTGTTCACTTCTGATAGGCAACGCAAACGGCTGTGCTCACAATGCTTTAATTTTAAGTGTATGACTGTTTGTTTGTTTGTTTGTTTGTTTGGAAAACTTACATGCTGCCCCATTCACATAAGCCTCGGGGCGGCTTCCAATCCATAAATAAATACAATCAATAGAAATACATAAAATACTGGAGACATCCTGGCAAAAAATTTAAAATCAATAAATAAAATCAACAATTAAAATAACGTTTAAATAAAAAGGTCTTGGCCTGGTGCCGAAAAGCAAATAATGATGGCGCCAGGTGGACCTCTCTGGGGAGCACGTTCCATAAGCTGGGTGCCACCGCAGAGAAAGCCCTCCTCTGGGTACTCACCCTCCTAATATCTTTCACAAAGGGCTCCTGGAGAAGGGCCTCTGCCGCCGATCTCAAGGGGTGGGAGGGCACATATGGACGCAAGCACTCCTTTAGGTAACCAGGTCCCAAGCCGTTAAGGGCTTTGTAGGTGATAACCAGCACCTTGAATTGGGCCCGGACTTCAATGGGGAGCCAGTGGAGCTGACGGAGGACTGGAGTCATGTGAGCACAACACCCAGTCCCCGTCAGCAACCTGGCAGCTCTATTTTGCACCATCTGAAGTATCCGGACTGTCTTCAAGGGCAGCCCCACGTAGAGCGTGTTACTGAAGTCTAATCAGGAAGTAACCAATGTGTGTGTCACTGTCGCCAGGCAATTGTCTTCCAGGTAGGGACGCAGCTGATGGCTCAGCTGAAACTGAAGGAAAGCGTCCCTCGCCATCGCTGTTACTTGAGCTTCCAGCGAAAACTCTGGGTCGAGGAGCACTCCCAAGCTGCAAACCCTGTCCTTAAAAGGGAGTGCAACCCCGTTCAGGACAAGGTCAAAGTCCTCCACCCCGAAGCCAGACCTGCCTCCCAACAGGACCTCTGTCTTGTCTGGATTGAGTTTCAGTTTATTGGCCCTCATCCAGCCCATTACCTCGGCCAGGCACCGGTTCAGCACAGCCACTGCCTCACCTGGATTGGTTGAAAAAGAGAGGTAGAGCTGGGTATCATCAGCGTACTGATGATTCCGCAGCCCACACCTCCTAATGACCTCTCCCAGCAGTTTCATGTAGATGTTAAATAGCAGGTGGGACAAAATGGATCCCTGCGGAACTCCATGACATAGCTGCCATGACGCAGAGCCTTAGTCCCCCAGCACCACCTTCTGGAATCGGCCATTGAGATAGGAGCGGAACCACTGCAAAGCAGTGCCTCCTACTCCCAGTCCCGCTAGCCTATTCAGAAGGATACCATGGTCGATGGTATCGAAAGCCACTGAGAGGTCCAGGAGGACCAACAGGGATGCACTCCCACTGTCTCTCTCCCTGCATAGGGTGTCATACAGGGCGACCAAGGCAGATTCAGTACCATACCCAGGTCTGAAGCCGGACTGAAATGGGTCCAGATAATCAGTTTCATCCAAGAGTGCTTGGAGTTGTCCCGCCACCACCCGCTCTAACACCTTGCCTTTTGCACCTGCCTACAGTTGATGGATCTTGGGTTTCTGATAAAAAAGTCCTGCAACTCCAAAATCTGTCCATTGCTGCTATAAGGGAACTCTAGGTATCCAGATTGAACTTCTACTGGTACTTGAAGAAAATGAGGGGCACCTACTTCTTGGTGTGCTCATCTTGAGGGTAATTTAGTCCTGTGAGAATTTGCTTCAAATGGCCACACAACATCTGTCATCTTGAGTAACTAGTTATCTGAATGAAAGGCTGATTTATCTTTAACTTGGTACAATAATGTAACCACATGGTGCAGCTCAGATTAGATGCATTATTTATTACCAGGGCTCACTGAAAACATTGTGTGCAGTTCCTAAAAGCATTCTCTATCACATCCCAGACTCCCTGTTACATAAACTCTTACAACATAATTGATTCTTGCTCTGGTGCTGCTGACAGATAAGATTAAAAAAATTAAATTGCCTGTGTGGGAAGTAAAACACTTCATGGGGAAAGAAAGAAGGTTATCATGAAATTGACCAGAGAAGAGGTTCTTACCAGTGAGCAACATTTTAAATGATGAGCCAAGATGTATCCTCAGCTTTCTGTTTCTGCTATGACTCTATCTGGAATGAAGATTCTGCACTTAGGCATTTTAGTTAGTTTTAAGATACTGTTCAAACCAAGCTTAATCTTGTGAGATCAATGAATTAAGAATAAGTGTCATGAGCATAAATTAGGAAACAGTTTATTTGTTTTGTTAAATATTCAATAAAGTAATGAGAAATATTTTTGGAACTATACTTGTATGAAACCAGTGCTTTCACTCTGTGTGGATAACTCTCCTCCCGCTGCACACTAAAGGTTGCATACTAAAGCTGGAATTGTAGGAGTAGCATGCTGTCAGCTTGCAAGATGGTGGGGGCTATCACCCCACTCTTCCAAACTGGGCTATGTTCATGCATCCCTTGCATGACTGCGAGGTGGGGGGAATCAAGTGGCAGATTCCTTGAACTGGCCTTTCCACATTAATAACTTGCATAAAATTGTACTTGCTTGAAAGTAAGTCCGCATCAGTTCAGTAGGGCCTGTTTGCATGTCTATTTGCACCCTAAGATTTGAATGAAAAAGTAGAAATTAATTCTCAGGCTTGCAAAGACATCAAGCCAGGAAAAACTTTATAAGCCCTAGCAGCTAGGAAGCCAAGAAGCTCTTGGTTTGTTTAACTCAGGGATTGCTTGGGATTAGTTAAGCAACAAGCCATGCAGTTCTTATTCTGTTTTCAGTTAACTCAGGAACTTCCTATTCTTTTGTTGTTTTGTAGCATGTGAATTCAGAAACTTGGGGTTGTTCATGGGTTAAATAATATAGATATACCCTAATAATTGCCTGTGGTGTTTTTTTGAAGAGGTGAGCTTGGTTTTTACTCTATAAAAATATTCCCAGAGTTTGTAGATTCACATGTCAGCAAACAATTCCAGGTTCAACACATTACAACAATTTAAAAGTGGAAATGATAAATGTATGGTTCACATTCTTCACTAATCCCTCCAGTTCTGAAGTCAAACAACCCAGGGATTGCCACTGGCAATGTGAAAACAAACTGAAAATGTGATAATGTAAAAGATCTTGCGTAAGAGATTGCATAATTTTCCCTTGCACAAAGGGGATTGTACAATTATCGCTTGCTCAGTTCTCTTTTCTTGCTCAGTGTTTGCGTACTAAGTCAGAAAAAGCCTCTCTGCGTGTAGAAGTAGTTTTTTCTTTGTGGAAGAGCATCTCTAGAAAGTGAATTCAGGGAAAGTGTTAGTATCAGGCACAATATACCTACCTTGTGGATTTTTGTGGCAGCTGCTTGGCTACTGTGTGATGCAGGACCAGATGGACGCTTCTGATGCACCATGGCCACCCTTATGTAAAAATGGCCAGAATGAGAAGTTTGTTTGTTTGTTTGTTTGTTTGTTTGTTTAAAACTTTTTTATACCGTCCTATACTTAAAAGTCTTGGGATGGTTTATAGCAGATTAGTCAAAAAACAAGACAAAAACAAGAATAACCAAAATGAAAACAAGAAGTTCAAATGTAAACCAAGTTCTAAAATATTTTTATATATATGTTCAGCCCTGAGCCATGAAAGTTATGATTTTCTCTATATACAAAAACCTAGGAAAAATGAAAATCTGTAAAACCTAAGACAAATGAAAGTTTGGTTCAAAAAAACATATGTCTAAATTTTATTCTTGAGTCTGAATCAGATGTAAACATTTCAACTTTAATAAACTAGTTCACTAAACTGAGAATGAGCACTGAACCACACACTCTCTCCTACTGTACATAGTAGCTCAGATCCCTTTGTTTACGCACTGGGAAAATGTGCTTTAATGGGAAACCTTGGTTAAGCAAACAATGCTGGAAGTGCTAAGCAAAGAGGAAGAAATGCATAGGCGTGACGCTTGTTCCTGTACTATGTGTGCCTGCCCAGTCTGCTGTCCAGCAGCTAAGTGTTCATATGCAACATCAAGCACTTGCTCTCTCCTGTAGTTCTTGATCTTTAAACCAGACTTGGACTGTACAATTAATGAAATAAAGTAAGGCAGATGGCCACACTACTATGTTCCCTCCTTAGCCTGCATTCATACAAGCACCTAGAGAATTAGATGTGGGACATCACATAGCAACTAGGGTTGTTTACCTCAGGGATTGCTGGAGATGAGTGCTATATTTTCAGATTTAGTTAATGTTGGTTTCATGGCATGTGAACCTAGAAACTCTTGGTTGGTTAGGATTAAGTTAACCAGAGTTAACTCAACAAACAATGGTTGTTGGGTTCATTTTAGGCGGACCTCTCTGGGGAGCGCATTCCATAGTCGGGGCGCCATCGCAGAGAAGGCCCTCCTTCGGGTACTCTGTCTCCTAATGTCTTTCACAGAAGGTTCCCGGAGGAGGGCTTCTGTTGTTTCTATATGTGTGTGTGCCACCATCTTAGAATGTAGATACAAAGGCACACAGCTCTCTTGAATTGGAAAAAGAAGAGGAATTGTGGAATAAACTGATAAGCAAAAAATATAAGTATAAAGTGGCTTTGCAGGAAGAATGTGATATGGTTCTTTAAGCCAACCCTAGAATACAAGCTCTGGAGGCAATCAGTAGGGGATACCCTGAATATTTGTTAGGCAGCAACAGTATCTGAAGATGAGGGAAGGCTAAAGCAGTTTATTTCATAGATTTTTATTGTCTGTTCTGTTAGCCTTTTGGTTACAGACATCATTTCATACTGGATTTTCTTGTATTCCTAGTCTTTGAAAGCAACACGGAATTTTTCCCTTTCTGACTGGAGCAAAAATTTTGAAGTGATTTTCCAAGATGAAGAAGGTGAGTTAATTTGTCATTGCATTTGTACAGAGAAGGACTAGGTCTAGGCAACACAATAGCCCATGCTGAAAGGTTGAGTATAAGTTGTTGCTAACACATGGCTTGTCATATTGTCTGTATCCAACCATACTAACAAGCCATGATTTGTTAACCAGAAAGAACCCATAAAAAGAACTCATGGTTATTGGCTTGCAAATTGTGGGCTGTCTGTAGATAGCAAGTCATGATCTGATAGTGTGACCAGGTTCAAAAAACATGTTTACTCACTTTTCAACTCTCAACAGAGAGTTATTATGCAGCCAAAGAGAAATGCTCTCTACACTGAATGACCAAAACATTGTAAGGCATCCATAATATCTCTCAACTGTATATGAATAACAGTTATTTTACAGATAAAAATGTTAGGATGCTGGTTAAATGGCAAATCCCAGGTATGATAGTGAGTATGTAGCAAAGCTAAGATACTTATCCTGATAGAGTTAATCTACATTCATCCTTTAGTTATATTGTCTGGGGTGTATGGGGTGATCAGGGAGGGGTAGCACCTCTGGTGTAGGGGCATGTCGTGTCCTCATAGGGCAGCTCACCTACCATTGGTCCCCACTTGTCACCCAGTTCTTACCTGTGGCTCCCAGTAGCTGTAGCATGCGCAGCGGCCACACCCTGGGCAACAGCTTCGACAGTCTGGCCAAACCAGGTAGAGGGTAGCCGTTGGGTCAAGACCTTCGGTGAGATAGGGATTTGTCTGTCCCGAGCATGTGAAGACATACTCTGGCGGATTTTGCGGATGAGACCTACTAGAATAGGATCAACGGTCTTGAAGGTGGTTTCTGTGAGCGTTGTGGAACGCTAAGAGCATGGCAAGACATGAAGACGCCCTGGTCAACTATGCGCCCAGCCCATCTCCAACCGTCTTGACTCTCGTCCTGCCACTGGAGCAAGATGGATTCTGGGAAGAGAGAGTGAGGCTGACTATGCACACCTCTCCCTCACTTTAATCCAATCCATGCGCAAGTCTTGACATCCTCAGTTCAACCTCAAAGTCCTGTGGCGATGGGCGAGCAACGAAGCAGCAGGTGTGGATACACTGGGAGCTGTAGCCGCGGACCTGCACACAGGTGGCTCAGGTATAATGGTCGTCTTCTTGCTGACCGAAGCAACAGCTGGATTCGGTGTCTACCTGAGTGACTGAGCAGCCCTCTTTAGGACCACACTGCTCACCTCCGTAGCAAGAGGAAGGGGCTAGAAAAGGTGCCCTAAACATTGTTGCTTCACAGAACCCTGGCCAGCTTACCATGGCTGGAGGGGATCCCATCTTATGTGGTTGAACAACAAAACTGCAAACAAAACGAAAAAGCAAGGTAACACCACTGACTATTGGCACGTGGAATGTACGCACACTTCAAGACAACCCCTCAGCAGATCGACCAGAAAGAAGAACAGCCCCTGTTGCCAGAGAGCTCGCAAGATTTTACATCAATATAGCGGCCCTGTGTGAAACTCGCCTAGCCAACGAAGGTCAGCTCACAGAAACAGGAGGCGGTTACACATTCTTCTGGTGTGGACATAGCAGTGATGAATGTCGTGAATCTGGAGTTGGCTTTGCGGTTAAGAATCATCTTGTCCCCATACTTGCCAGTCTTCCCAAGGGTGTGAATGACCGACTCATGACAATGCATCTCCCACTACCGAGAGGAAAGCAAGCCACACTGATCAGCGCCTACGCACCCACAATGACGAATTCGGATGAAGTAAAGGACAAGTTTTATGAAGATCTTGATGCCCTACTCTCATCTGTGAAGCGTACCGGCAGACTGATTCTACTTGGCGATTTCAACGCGAGAGTAGGATCT